GGCTGCACTCCTCCTGCTCGGTCCAGGCTCTCCTTCCAGCTTATTTATTTTTTTACCTTTGTCTCCCTCCTAGAAGGGCTGCCTCCTATCCGTCCGTCCCTTCTCCACTATCTCTTTCGGTTCTTTATTTCTGTTTGCGTTCCTGCCTCTCCCTCTCCCCTGTCAGGTCCCGCGCTTTTCTTTCCCCTTTAGTTTTCAGCGCGCTCTCTGCGCAGCCTGCCTTTCCCTCGCTTCTGTGACTTTGTTACTCATTGTTTTTTCCTCTTAAAAAAAAATAAAAATAAAACCTGAAGTTTTTCTTTTTTTTTTTAATGACTGTCTTACACCCCCCTTCCCTTCCTTCTTTTTGTTCCTGCCTTCGATCGATCTCCTCCTCTTTCCCCTCTCCCCCACCCTCCTGTCGGGTTTTCTGCGCCTCCTGCCCTTTCTCAGTTTCTTCTCGGCCCGGCTGCCTCGCCTCTTTCGCTCGCCCCTCTCCCATGTTCCCTGACGCACACTCTCCCCTGTGCCACTTCCATCGCGCCTCTGAGCCCAGGGCTACTCCCCCCGCTGCCTTCCCCTGGTCCTGCCCGGCCTCCGCTGGCCCTCTTCTGGGCCTGTGCCTAGCTGCGTGCAGGTCTCTACAGATGACCCCCGGGCTGGAGGGTGCGCGCGCTTTGGGCAGGATGCCTGCCCTTCCTCTGCCCCGGAGTTGGAGCTGGAAGCCTGGAGCCCACCCTGCCGGAGCTCCCCTAGTCCCCACCCCGTGCCCCAGCCCTGCCGACCCTCCTCGCTGGGCTCCCCGCGGCGGCAGGGGCTGGGGATCTGGAGGGCGGGTCCGTGTAGACGCAGCGGGAAGGCTCACCTTCCATGTCTCTGGTGACGGTGCTGAAGTGCATCCCTGCCGGGGATTCCAGCAGCCGGTGAAGCTTCGCCCGGTTGGAGGACCCGGGGCCCAGGCGAGCGGTACGCTCTGCGGCCTCTGCTGCAACCAGAGAGGCGATGCTGAACGCGCTGGCCCGGGGAGACAGCGGGCTCCGCGCGTCCATAGGCGCCCGGCGGCCTGGCCGGCGCCGCCTCCGACTGCGTGCACCCAGCCGCACCGAGGCCGGCCCAGCCCACGGGAACCGGGGGCGGGAGCCTGCGGTGCCACTCACAGCCGTTAGCCCGGACCCAGGGGATTATGGCGTCACGGCCCCCCACTCTGGGCCAGTGGCAGGCGAGGGGCCCAGACGGGTGGGGCGCCCTGAGAGCTCAGGGCCCTTCTGCTTTTCAAGCTCCTGGCCCCTCGCCGCTGCTCCCGGGGACCTCCATGACCAGTGCCCCTTGAACATCCCACTGCTCCCGCTGAGGCCGAGGTCCCCTCTGTCAGCGTCTACAGCCCCAGAAGGAAGGTGATTATCCCGGGAGCGCTCAGCCCCATCCCAAGGCAGTGGGGCACTGATGAAGCACCCAGGGGCCTCCTGGGCCCGGCCCTGCCCCTGCCCTCAGCCCCTCCTGCCGCCTCCTCCCTGGCTGCCCCTGCACCTGGGTAAGGAGAGGGCAGTACAGGCTCCAGCACGGCCTCGGCGAAGCAGGACAGAGCCCAGGCCAGCAAATGCCCCTTCGATTGACTGTTGTGGCTGGGACCCCAAAGAGGGACACCGCCCAGGCTGTTCAGCCGGGGAGTCCAGGCGTCACGCGCAAACGCGCGCACCACCCGCCTCTGGCCAGGACGCTTATACATCCGGAGGGTGGGCAGTGCCCGCTCCTCTGACCTCCCTGCGCACCGGCCAGGCGCAGGGAGGGCCGGGGGCGGGGCCTGGACTGGCCAAGGGAGCTGAGGACACGTCTGGGAGCTCTGGCCTCCCAGTTCGGTGGTGCGCTGCCCCTCGCTGCCACTCACTCCGCAGTCAGCCTGCTCGCCTGGGGCAGTTAGGCCAGACAGACGGAGGCAAGGCCTGCCTGAGGCCTCAAGGCCTTTAGGCCCAGGCATCCGGGATGAAAAAGCCTGACTTAGTTTGTGCCTTCCCCTACCCACTGCCTCTGCGGCCTCCTCTGACCATATCAGGCATCCATGGCCTTCCTGTCCAGTGTCTCCCCAGCAAGATGTCAAGCCTCCCTGCCTCCCAGGAGCCTCTCTGGCCCTGCACTGAGGCTCTGGCAGTCAGGGCCTCCTTTCCAAGGCCTCTCCTCCTGCAACCACATAATTTGCCTGTGCTTGTCTGGATGGGGGTAGGGGGTAGGTAGCCTCCCTCAGGGTTTTTACAATCCTGGGGCCTCAGACCTTAGGCTGCCGGGGGTGCTGGCTGGGAGGCAGGGAAAGCCCAGGAACTGGGGACCAGGGATTAGGCTCCAGTGGGAAGCAACTGGCTCTGGGGCCTGAGGTCCAGGAAAGAGTGTGAAGCCAGAGTGCAGTGGGTGAGCATGTGGGTAGTGCTGTGTGACTGGGGGTGTGCTGTGTGTGACCTCATGCTCACTGAGCCCCTTCCTGCCCCCCCCCCCC